TAAGCATCCTCATTCTCGAAACCAAGAAATACATGAGGCTTTAGCTTCAAAAACTTAGTGAACATTTCATGCTCATTATCAGTCATAACAGAACCCAACAAAGGACAGAAGAACGCATCATTACCTCCAGTCCCACCCACCTTGGGCGCAATGCTAGCAACAGAGGGATTAGTAGGAGTTTGAGTTGTTTGAGCAGAAGGAAACACTCCAGGACCAACCAAACCTTTCAGGAATGACATGATTTGTTGAGCAAATAATGGGTCGATGGGAGGAACACTGATAGTCTCAGCCTGCACTGACATGATCTGTTGTGCTAACACTGGGTCGATGGGAGGAACACCGGTAGTCTCAGCCTGCACCTCTTCCTCTTGTCTAACCTCCTCGACATTTTCAACCTCAATATCATTTTCTATCTCTTCATGATGCACAGGAGGGGCCTCATTTAAGGGATCATTTCCGACCGGCACCCCATCCCTAGTAGGAGCCACTCTTCCTCTACCCCTGCCTCGACCACAACTTCTCGCTGTAGATTCCTCAGCTGGAGCATTGACGGGAGCTACAGGCTTGAAGCCGTTGAATCTAGTATTAACCATCTGCGGACATAAGAGTGAAAGAGGTTAAATAACAATTTGAATCACCAGATACCAATTGGAATCAAGTCATAGCATGAAAGGAGAAAAGAGAAAACAGAGAGATTTCCTAAAGTCTTACAGTCTCTCAAAGAAAAGTAAAGGCGTTCCCATACCATTCCGCAAGACTCTACTAGACTCGTTTTGGTAGATCGAGATCAATGAACCTAGGCTCTGATACTAACTTTGTCACGACCCAGACCATCGGGATTGACACCCACTACCCCTCCAATGGGAGAACCACTACTACAATCCAAATCAAGTAACTAAACCAAAAACTAAGCATTTAAGTTATGGAAGCAAGTTAAATAACTAAAGACTGAAGTTCCCATAAACTTCCAAAAGATCTAACAACTAAACAATGTAGAAAAATACACCTAGAACCTGAAAGTCAATATACCAAAACATCTAACAATGAACCAAAGTCTAAACAAGAAGGGTCACAACCCCAACTAACGAACTATTAACTAACTAGAAAGTCTAAGTCAGAAATGTAGACATAGACGAAATGAGATATCATGGCAGCCTGGAAGAATTGGCTCACCCTTGAATTCGATCAGCGATCACTGATCTTCTAAACGAGGTCTGTCAATAGCCGCCTGAAGATGTCGTGTACTCAACAAGAAAGAGAAAGTGCAGAATCAGTACACAACCACAGTGTACTGGTAGGGTCACACGACTATCCCACTAAGTGTAACATACATAAGTCAATACAACAATATAATCACATGCTTATATCGAACATATACAATATTATCAACATTTACGAACAACGAACAACTTCACATTTCTCAAGATACACAATTATGACAAGTCATTAGTCCTCTCATGGAACCCAAACCCAAAGAGTTAGCATACCAGAACGTGGTACCCGATCCAATGATTATGCCGGAACGTGGCAACCGATCCCATAATTATGTCGGAACGTGGCAACCGATCCAAGTTTGTGCATCGGAACGCAACACCCAATCCATTCAACAAGCCACAATCACAAAGTACATTCTCATAATCATTCAATCAAGTCATGATTCATGACATTCATCATTCATCTATCTTCATTTATGATTAATGTGATCAATAATGCAACATTCGCATATAAACATGTATCATAATGAAGCAAGAACAAACATGTATCACACAATCATAAAATCACAACCATCACCTACCTCGGAACAAGCTTGAAACCCTAAGAAACTTGATCATTCCCTTTTTTGGATTCGTTCCGCTTGTTCTTGGTCTACAAACAATCAATATAATACGGGAATCAATAAACGGTCACTAATTACCCGGATTACTAACAATTCTAACAATCCTAGATCATACCCATGATCCCAAATATATAAATTAGGGTTTTTCCACCATAATTTACATATCAAAACCCTTTCCTATCGATAATTACCCATTAGATTACGTTCTACGGATCAAAAAATGGATTCGGGGATTAAAATCTTACCTTTAGCCTTAAGAATAGTAGAAAACTGTCAAGAATCGCCTAGGGTTCGTTCCTTAGCTCTAAAAACCAGAAAGTGCAGAATAAGACGTTTTGGGGTTTATTTACGACTTTAAGTCACGTCGGACCTGCCACAACGGTCCTCACCCCGCTACAATGGCCCTGCCAAAGCGACAAAAACACCGCCAAAGCGGCTTGCACGAAACAGTGAGTTATTTTTAATAATTCCAAGACCCCTATTTCACAACACGGCTTCCACCAACAACACTCAGAAAATATCCGTTCACGCTAAGATCAATTTTGAGAGTTCTACTCGCCCGAATTCAATTCTGTAAAGTCGTACGAATTCCTTAACGACTTATCTAACTACTCAAGTAATCAAAAACATAATTAGATCACCCATTTGCTACCAGATTTCTCTAGACTTGAAAGATTCCGATTTCGTCCAAATCTGGATTGTGTTGAGAAATTTCAAGTTACTACAAAAAAGTTTTCCGACCCAAAATTCTTCCCCGTTGACTTTTCTATAACGACGAAACCCAATCGTTACATTATAACCTATTACGAATAATGTAAAAATATTTTTTACGACCGGATAAAAATGCTAAGATCCCAAATAATAAAGTAAACGGTCCAAAATAATGAAGTTCTAATTGGGCCACTTTCTAGTAAAGCCCACTAGCCAACCCAACTTGTACATTTTGTTAAATTTGAGAAACTTTTCTATAGTTTCAAATTTCAATAGAGGAAAAAGGTGAAGTTTAAGGAATCAAGGATTTATCGATAGGGGCGGAGTTACAATTCAACTTATAGTTTCGATGTAACTTATCAGTTTTTTTTTTGCCAAGAATTATATTTGTATATAAAATTCATTTTACAAGTATAAAAAATTTATCTATAACTTGATAAGTTGTCTTTTTAGAATTAAGAAACTAAGACAGATCAAAATAGAAAGAAATAAAAAGGGCCCAACCGGGTTCGAACCGGTGACCTCTTGATCTGCAGTCAAATGCTCTACCACTGAGCTATGGACCCTAGTTGTTTGTAGAAATGTTGTTATATTTACATGAAAGGATTAATATTTATTCGCATTTGGTGTTTATTTTAAATTAATGAATGCCAGACATTTGTCTTTTATACACATATACTTTAATTTTAAGAAAAAAGTTTTTTATACACATATTTGTCATTAAACTATGGTTAAAGTGATATGCATTCTCACTTAAAATTTTGCACTTATGAGGTTAAATTATTTGATTTGATGTAGGTAATAAAGAAATAAATGATTTTTGAAACTTATGTTTGAGATATGTTGTAAAGTTATACTAAACTATAAAACCTCTTTTTTGATACTAAACTATGGGGGTCAATTTAAATAATTGTTTAGAAATTTTAAATGTATCATTCTTTTTGAAATAGACTGATAAAAAAAAATTAATGTCCTTCGCTTTAAAATGACAAAGGGTAGTTTAGTAGGTTGTTCCCTCTTCTTAATTTCCTCTTATGAAGAAAAATTAAAGTCTTACCTACTTGAAATTGAGACATAACTATTGACTTGTACTAGTAGACACACACAATTAACAAAGAGGAGAAATAACACAAAAACTTTACGACATTCAGCTAAACCTACGTCCTAGAGAGGAAGAAGAAAAAAAGATCTTTGAGACAAAGTCAACATTATTGATTTATCGCAAGTCAAAGTTTCTACTATTTTAATTAAAAGTTAGATTAGGTGAGCTCCCAACCATCACCTTCTTACATAAATTTCAACACTAATTGTAAGAAACAAGGAAAAATTAAAAAGAAAAGCCAAGTCTTCTATGATGATGTCAAAATCCGCTCTTATTTATATTTATTTAGTATAAATTCATCACATGATCTTTCTTTTCTATTATTGTCAAGTAGTTTTATTTAAAAAGAAATTATCAATCTACATATATACATCGTTCTGATGATGTCATAAGTTGGTTTGACAATTTTATTTATCGTTACTAGATAACTTTTTCCTTACCCTAGACCAACTAATTTAGTCTTTTCGAATCTTGATCCAAGAAATTTTTTTATTATTATTATTGATTTGGATACTTTCTCCATTTTATTTTCTATAAAGGTTTTACTATTTAAAGAGATAAAACAATCTTTTCTTCAATAATAATTTTCTCAATTTTTTAAAAAGTATTTTTATATCATTAAGTGTGAACTTTTCATATAAATTAAAATAGAAGAAATATTAAATAAATGAAGAGTTACTATATATACATGTCTCAAATTATAAACTATTTTATACAAGTTAGGAAAAAGGAGATTTTCATATATAATGATATGACACCAGAAGATAAAGCTTACATACTACCAAAAACATAAAGTTGATTAAATCAAAAGTGATGTGCCAAACTAATAACTCATCAACAAACTTGTTCCAATTTTGTAAGAGAACAGTTCAACAATTCTACTAGCTACTTTCCAACTACTTTCTTTGAATACTCCTTCTAGAAACATGAGAAAATATTTAATCCACACATCACGCATTGCACTCTGAACTAAGATTTTGGGGCATTTATCAACATGGATTGTGGTGCACTATAGAGAGTGTTTCACCCTTAACCAGAGATTTTGAGTTCGAGCCCTGAGTATGGAGAAAATTATGTTAGGAGCACCACCCCCGAATGGGCCCTGCAAAGCGCAATCCAAATTTAGTCGGAGCTCCAATGTGGGCTCCGAACACGGGGTGAAAAACAAAAAAAAAATACTTTGGGGCATTTTCCAATTTTACTTTGGAGTTTGTTCCAACTAAACAATAATGTCTAATAATGATTACTGAATTTAATCTCAAGCAAAAAGAGAAAAAGATAAACACATCCAGAGCACAAACTTAAACAAAATTTAACTAATCATTACTTTTATTATATGTAACAATAACAAAAACCTGTTGGATTACAAAATAGTTATAATCTGCAAATTAAAAAGAGCTATATATTGTCTATATATCACATATATTGCCTATGTACAATAGACTTTTCAATTTAACAAACTATTCAGTATATTTTTCTCTGCAAAAATGTCCAGCAGAGAGAGGGCCTGCAAAACCAAAAACATAATTTTCATGTTAAAACAAAATGTCTCATATGCACACTATAATATAAAAATGGCCTAGTACAGTCTATGTTGCTCGGAGTCTCGAAAAATATTGTCAGGTGTGTCGGATCCTCCAAAAACTGTGCATTTTTAGGAGGATATGACACAGGTGCAGCAACATTTTTGGAGGGTCCAAGCAACATAGTATACAATCTCTTGTTCAATTTTTTTTTTCTTTTCAAGGAGATAATAATCACCTCTGGAATGTTTAGTTCAAGGCGAAACTTAGGACCGTCGTAATGGTGAAGAATTGGCCTGAATGAGTCCTCTTCAAGTGGTTCACAAATTTTCCTTGTCACAACACGCACCTATACGCGTAAATGAAATAAATATGATAAGTAAGTCTCGATTTATTTTGAGACCAATGTAGTAAGTCTCAATCAACAAACAGGAACCTCATTCAGTTTAATTTGAGTTTTTTTTCCAGTTAGATTAGATATAAGTTCATTTGTAATCTAGTAAATGAAATAAATATGATATGCAACGAGATATTATTAGAAGGGGCAGCCTTGGAGCAACGGTAAAATCCAGTCATGGGTTCGAGTTACTGATTCTTGCGTCAGGGCTACATCACATACCCCTCAGATGCGACCCTTCATGAGAGGCTGCCCCTTTTTTTAGGTGACGGGATATTGTTAATCCTTACGATGGCATTCAAATATCTGAAGGAAATTCTGCACAGAAACTAACAGCTTTCTTAAACTTGTCTTACCTGAGCAGGAAAGCGCGATTCACCAGCGTTCTTCTTGTCCTCCCAAGCTGTAGGATCAATGTTAGACCCACCGAAGCTTGCAGCCTACAAAACAAATCCATGTATTGAGTTAAATTACCAGACAAAAAACAAGAGGAATAGATCCTAATCCCAACGAAATTGAGAGATTTACGGCATGGAAAAATAGAGACACAAACCTCAAAAATTCCGTGAAGCTGGTGGGTCGAGTAGTTGTAGAGGAAAAGAGGCAACCCGGGTGTTATTTGGCGAACTGAATCCCTGTAACGAGGTGGCAAACCTGAAATATAACAAGATCAGATATCAGAAAAATGCCAATTTTACTTATTCTTTCGTTGTGAGAGTTGAAGAATAACTAGAATGCTCTGTGCAATGACAACAAATCGATCAACTACACCTTAATCTCAAATTAGTTGACGTTGACTATATAATCCCATACATCCACACCATTTATAGTATTCGGAGATTCATCTTAGTTTAACTATTCTTATCCACATCTACAGCTGTGGAACTCATATTACTGAATACCAAGTTTATGCAAATTTCTCTTAAATGAAACAATTGTATGTTCTCCTATTGGAACAACGCATCACAAAAAACTCCTATGTTCCATTACCAATTCCAAAACAGTTGAGATCGGCTATATTAATCACTCCATTCTATTCTGTGTAGGTCCATTTACTAAATCAAGCAAAGTATCCAATTAACATAACTTAATTGCAGTCATTTACAAAAACCAGTACTTTAAGTCTTTAACCAACAACATCAAAGTTCAACTGATTACAGCAATTAAGAACAATCTAGAAATACAGTCAAACCTCTCTATAACTGCATGTTCGTCCTAATATTTTTTGGCTACTATAGCAAAAGCTTGTTATACAGAATATATAATATAACATAGTATAAAAAGTCAGTCCCAAAGAAAACTTGACAGTAATAGTAAAAGGGAAACTGTTAATAAAGAGGTACGATTGTAAAAGCTCAAAACAACAACAACAATATATCCTTAGTAATCTCACAAGTGGAGTAGTGTGTGTAAACCTTACCCCTACCTCGTAGAGGTAGAGATGCAGTTTCTTAAAGACCCTCGGCAAAAGGTGCAACAAATATCAAAGTAGTTATGAAAAAAGGAAATACGGCAGTAGAGAAAACATGTCAATTAATACGGAAAGCAGTATAGTATAGCGCAACAACGGCAGTTGGCTAAAAGACCCTCGACTCAAGTGCAGCAAATCAAAGTAGTTATAAAAAAGGAAATACGGCAGTAGAGAAAACATGTCAATTAATAATGAGAGCAGTATAGTATAGGGCAATAACAACAAAATAATGCAAGGGTGGTAACAACAACGAAATAATGCATTAACTGAAACACAAAAGAATGAGAAAACTCACCAAAGAGCTCCCTTTTGAGATTTTCATGCATAGTATCATTGTTGCAAACAAAAATATATCCACCAACAGTTTCATTTTTTGGTAAAGATTCTGATGCTGGCAAAGTCTTGAACTTCTTATTCTCACTACTATTATTATTAGCACCCAAATCCTTATTACTCTCTCTATTAATCTTGTTATTTTTCTTTCCAAATTTATTCACAAATCCATAATCATCCACAAAAATACCATTTTTCCCATTTCTCTTGTTATTATTAACCCCTTTTGAGTTCACCACAAAATTGTTAAAATTCATAGGGTTTGTGTAAACCCCTTTATTAAATCCACCATTTAAACCAACCCCACCACCACCTTTCACGGCTGAGCCACCACCAGCTGCCGCCGCAGCCGCCATGTCAGCAATCTTCCAACCATCATTACTAAAAAGATTGTAATCTGAATTCAAATTTTTTGATGGATTTAAAGAACTAACAGAGTTAATCATACCACCTACTCTGATATCAAAGTTTCTTCTTTCTTCAGGCCTTTTAGATACATAATTGCTACTCCAAATTGAATCATTTGAAGACAAATTTACTAAGTTGTTTGTATGTAAACGAAGATTATCACTGAATTGGTAGAAAGATGACTGATTGTTCTCCATTTTTTCCTCTTTTCGCTAAACCCCGGATGAAGTTTTTTCTATAAAGATTGAATCTTGGCCTAAAACAACAATGGAAAAAGGCTTTTTCACTAAACCCCAGATGATAATTTGTCCGTAAAGATTCAATTTTGGACTAAAAAACAATGGAAAAGGCTTTATCACTAAACCCCAGATGATAATTTGTCTGTAAAGATTCAATTTTGTACTAATGGAGTGAAATTTACAGATGAACAAAGCTCAAAGAAGAGATTTTATTTACAAAAACTCTCAAGTAGTGGTTGGGTTTATAAGGAAGGGTGGAGCGAGTAAACGCGGTAGAGGGAAATTTCGTAGAAATGAGAGGAATTAGGAGTGGAAAAACTTAGTCGTGTCAAATCGTAGTACTCCCTCCGTCCACAATTGTTTGTCAGGTAAGGTCATGCACATCCCTCAAGGAAAATTTAATACAATGTGTAATTTGACTAATATAACCCTACTATATCAAAAATACCAAAAGTCCACATAACTTTTCAATTGAACTACACAATCATTAAGGGCAGAATTGGAAAAAAGTGACTAATTATTTCTTGATTGTTTAAATTGACAATTAATCTTGGACATCTATTTTTAGTATACTTGCCAAACAATTGTGGACAGAGGGAGTAATACTTAATTACATTATACTTACCGGGGTGTTCACGATTTGGATAAAAATCAATTCAAATCGAGAAATCAAATCAAAGCGATAATATATAAACTGATTTTATTTGAATTTGGTTTGGTTTTAGATTTTAAAAAATCGACAGTATTTGGTTTAGTTATGGTTATGTTCGAAAAAAATCGAAGGAATCGATAAATTATATACATATATTTTATTATCATACATACCTAATATATTGTTTTTATAAACAATTTTAAAGATACTATATGTTTTCATTAAAATCTATTTATAATTTACTTATTGAAAGCAAAATTGTCCAAGGTGAGAACATTTATGTTAGTTTCATGTATACGAGTGTATGAGACTATGACAATTCTTTGTGAGACTAAAATGTCATTGTTTTTTCTTTCTAGGCCAAAATAGTGAATTTTGACGCTTTATTCATAATAAATTCAGTGATCGAAAGTTTTATAATGTCAATCATTCTAACTATTTTTCAATTTGAATTGATTGTTGTCACTTTTTTCACGTTTTGAATAAACTGTTTCTTTTATTTTTGTGTATGGTTAATAACCGAACTAAATCGAACCGAGACCGATAACAACCAAACCGACAAATGCATATTATATTTGGTTTGATTTGGTTTTGATTTTGACCAATAGCCGATCAAACTGACCCATAAACACCCCTAATACTCAAATTGTAGTGCGGTGATGGAGCTCGTTCACTCTTTAATCAGGGATCTCAAGTTTGAGCCGATATCGAGAAAATCTTGTTGGAGTGTCACCTTGAAGGGGCCATGCAATGTGTATTTGAAAATCCTATTAGGAGCGTCATCCCCGAATGGGCCCTGTAGTGCACGATCCGAATTTAGTAGGGGATTCAGTGTGGGCTCCGGACACCGAGTGGGAAACTAAAAAAACATACATTATACTTTCATCCAACTTTATTTGTCTACGGTATTATTTGGGATGACCAACAATACTTATCTAGTTTATAAATCAATGAATAATTTATGATTGTGCCTCTATTTTACCCTTACTATTATATAGTATTCATTTTTCAATGTTTATATGACTATATTTAAGGAAAAACTACCTAAATACACACAAAAAAATTATCATATTCTCTAAAATTCTCTACCATTTAAAAATTACAAAATCTCTACTTTCTCGTATTCTCGGATACATCACTTTACGCGATATATCAGGACATTGTGTGATGTATCCGAAATCGAGACGCAATGTATCGGGACGTTGAGCGTTGTATCCGAAATCGAGACGTGATGTATTGGGACGTTGAACGATGTATCCGAAAGCATGACACGATGTAACGAGACATTTTGGGATGTATCCAAATTCCACCAAATTTAAGGATTTTTTGTAATTTGGAAAAGTTTAGAAATAAGATGTAATTAGCTCTTAACATTATGAGATTTGCATAAATTCCCTATATTTAATGAAGGTGATTTGATAAAATTATCCCTATCATTTACTGCTTACGTCAAGTTAATAATAAGTACAGTAATTATTATTGGACACAGAAAATAATGATTAATAACTTCTTTTTTAATCTAATTATTAATCATGTTAAAATTAGTATAAATATATACTAACATGTGCCTTTACATAAATTATTACCTATAGCTCGAAATAAATCATGTATGGTTCACTTTGATCTAATAAACCTCACGAATTTGTTTTTAAAATGTGAGCATCATTAACTTAAAGTCGTTCATTTTCTTCTCCCATTTGTTAAAAAGTCATTTTGGAAAAGTGATGCACAATTGGTTTTCTTATATAGATCTAAACAATTCTCACTTTATATGTTAGTTGTTCATGGAATTGAATTAGACTCAACATTTATTTTATTATGTGATATCAAAGTCGGCTTACCTCAATTCTTTGTTCGCCAATGTTGGGGCCCCATATTATATTGTCCACGCTCCATCTCAAAAAATAGATGGACAATGGTCTCCTTACATAGACTTGCACAATTAACTTATAAGCTAGCATTTGGGGCTGAATTACACCCAAAATTCATTTTTATACCATTTAAATATAGATTCACCTAAAATATCATGTACATCTTTTCTATAGAAGTTTGTCGACCTAATTAAAATCTAGTCAACTCTTCTTTTAATTGATCTGCTCTTTGTATTGGGTGTCACATACACTCCCTTATAAGAGTTCAACGTTCTCACTAAAATTGTCTCTGCTACTGTATTTAGGGAGCGTCCGACTCTAACATTATTTTTTTCATATTCTAAACCTATGACAAATATCTTTTGTTAAAGCCCAACATATCTTACAAATTATTTCCTTGAATTACATTATTATCAAACTTAAAAACATGGGTAATAAGTAAATTTGTGATATAATTTATAAGATTATTTATGTTTTCTCTTATTCAAATATAAAATTTACCTAAAATATCCTATGCCTCCATCTTTTAAAAATATTATCAACATAAAAGCATATCAATCTTTTTTTTATCGACAGTCTATATATCTAGGCGAAGCGACTAAAAGTATATTCGTTGAAAAAGGAAAAATAAAAGAAATTTTGATGAAAGCAAAAGGGAAGAAAGTAGTAATTTCACTATAAATAGTGTGGGGGTTACTTTAGGTGAGCTAATCAAAGAGTGAATGGTGACATAAAAACACGGTTTAGAAGAAAAAGACATTTAAGTTGAGTTTTGATTAATGTATGTATAAGTAGTTCAAAAAATAAATCAATAACGTCATTATTAATTAATTAATGTATGTATAAGTAGTTCAATTATACCATCAAACTGTCTTTTTTAAAAAAAAATTACTATGTGATCAAACGATTGGTGTAGAGAATTTTTATTGTAATTTCCTCTAAGATTTGTGAGGTTATACGATCAAGAAAATATTTTAATATTTAGTCAAGTGTTGAAATTAACTTTGTAAGAGTTGAACTTAATGACAATTATAGGGTTGGGTGACAATTAGGAGATAATTATAAGAGATAACAACAACATGATAGATTTCATAATATGTTTCGCTGAATTTCCTAAATTTGTTTAGTTAGAAAAAAAAAAGTAAAATATTTTTTTAAAATACTATTAAAAATAATTAGTTATATTTGATTAATCAACTTAAATATTTTTTTATTAATAGAATGATATTAATTTATGCTTAATTAAGATTTTAAAATTAGTTCTTGGAAAATGCTACTCCCTCTGTCCCATTTTATGTGGCAACATTTTCTTTTTGGTCAGTCCCAAAAAGAATGTCACATTTCCTTATATGGAAAGTATTTAAAGGTATAATTCATTTTTTATCCTTGTTGGTCCCACTTAATCTTAAAATAATACTCTAATATATTTATGAGGAGAGAGAAATTGAGTCTACTTTTTAAAAGGGCAACTTGGTAAACATTTCAAAGTCTTCATTTATTTCTTAAACTCCGTGCCCGGTCAAATGTTGCCACATAAAATAGGACAGAGGGAGTACTTTTTATGCTTCTGAGAAACCAACGTTTTATTATTGTAAATGATCAAACACTTCAATAACTCCACTTTTTAAAATAACCATTTTTCCAAAAAGAATATTTATTTTTCAAACAATTGACCAAATAAGATATACTATTCAGATCCTCTAACATCCATCTAGAAGATCATATTTACTAGTAGGTTGGGTTTCAAAATTAAGAAAAAAGATTTGCTGAGGTAATATTCCTTATTTATTTATTTATTTATTTGTTTTACTTAGTTGCTAAGTTAAGCTTCAATCTGTGAGAGGTGCACTTAGACATGTCAATTCATGTGGAAACAGTCGGCCCAAAGTTTACTTAGTAGTCCAAGTTTTTTTTTAAAACAATTAACATGATATGATATTAACCGTTTAAATTAAATTAGCTTAATTTTTTTTTGGGAAAAAAAGATTTTGCATTACTAAGAATGTCATTATATATTATAGGGAAAAGAGTTTGAAAATACTCTAACTTTGGCCGAAATTGCTATTACGATACCAAACTTTATGGAGGACATTTTACCCCCTGCACTATTTAATAGTGTATTTTAAAGGTATATATGTGCCCACGTGGACACATTAATATTTATAATGATGCAATATTTATGATGTCCACGTGGGCACATATATACCTTTAAATACACTATTAAATAATGCAGGGGGTAAAATGTCCTTTCCAAAATTCTATATCGTAACAACAATTTTGGCCAAAGTTCGGATATATTTCAGACTTTTTTCCCAATATTATAAGTAACTTATTCTTTTGTTCTAAATATTAATATGAAATTTTGTTCACTAATTTCACAATTTTTTTCTCAAACTAAATTTTACATGAATCATGATCTAATGGTCACTACTTCTTTTTTGGTGTGTGTATCTATGCACGATGCATCTTCAAAGCTATAAATAAAGATAATAAACCACTTCTTAGATGATGCAAAAACATTATGTTGAATCTCACGCCATTACTATGCTATCTTCATGTCCATCTTGCCAAAATTATTAAATCTGTTAGATATCACTTGTTGCGCTAATTCAGTCCAAATACTTTTAATATGACATGATATTATCCGCCTGGATTAAACCGACACGATTTTTCTCTTGTAAATTCTCTTTCTTGCACATAAAAAGGCCAACACTTCTATTTCCATACAAACACAATGGTAGTATGGGCTGAAGCAAAAGTGGACTTTGGGAAGCCCAACTTTCAAGCCCATATGATAATCCAAACATTAATGAGGTGTGATCCACAATTATATAGTCCAAGTGACCAAAAACCATAGCTCCATTTTGTTTTATTTTCTTACAAAGTTTAATTTAATTCATATATTTCTGATTAAGATATAATTGGATGCTTATTTATTATAATTTAATGTAATAGGAAAGTGTACAGATCTTATGTAGAAGTGTTTTTTTTAGGTCAAGGTGTGATCTAACAATTGATAAATTAATTAACAAATCAGAATTCAAATTCTAGCAGAAACATCTTTTTAATGTCAAAATTGTTGGACAAAAAATAATTATCCGATATTTGGGGTTAATGAAAGGTAGTTACTAATAAGTATATAACAAAATAATTAAGGTATGGACAAAATTATGACGCTCATAATAGAGGACTAGTCAAGGAAAATAACTAATAAGTTTTTAAAGAAGAGGTACATATCACACCTAAAATAAATTCTATATCGGAATAAGAGAGACAAGTGAAAATTTTATAAGACATGACATAAATTTATATGTGCACACACTTTTGGGCTCAATAATGACGTAGAATTAGAGACAAATCCATAAGGCCCGTTATATTGAGTCCAATTGAATAATACGTATCATGAATTTGGATCATGACAGAATTGTATTGAAACAATGAACACTATTATTATAAAAAAAAAAATAGATGGGAAGGGATAAGACATTCTGATTGTGTGAGACTTCTTTTTGTCTCACAAATAGGTGGATCCAAATTTTATTTGTTCGAGTCCATATATTTTGGATCTCATTAACTTGTTATATAAAATGAAGTTTCACACAATTATTATTACAGTTATGCGAGATATTAAATAATTTTTTCTCGAAGAAATAAAATTTCATAAATAATATTTCAAATTTATTGTTTCTTTCGACCCATCAAATGCCCCCCAACTCTCATTCCTTGACCATCTCATCCCTTGCCACTTCTTAGCCCACTCCCCACTCCTCATTCCGCACTTCATTGATTCATATAATATTTTGTCAGATTATATATAAATATTTTTAAAATAATATTTTTTATCTACTTACAAACTCATTGAACACTAAAAAATAATTAAGAAATCAGTCCATTTTACTTCCTACTCCCACTCTAGATCCTCATCTAACCTGTAAAACAAATTAAAGAAAAAGATACCCCAACTAATAATATTGGTCAAGAGAAAGATGCATAATTGCATAAGTAATAAAGTAGCATGAAACTGTCCTGTTATTTGTTAACTTACTATAATTAACTCTATTTTTTTGTACTAAAAGTTTAATTTTTGCAACAAAAAGAAACACCACTAAATAAATATAGTATTAAACATTGAAGCCATGGTTTATACGTCATGCCTTGTGTCATCATCTTCTATTTAAAATTCTAGAATTCATTGCTAGTTAACAAGTGGCAAGCTAGCCTATGTCAAAGTGGAGGATCTAGAACTGGTTCCGCAGATTTAACTGAATTTATTGTTTTCGATTTAAATTATCTGTGAAATAAAGAAAACTTAATATATACAATCGAACAATAATAATATACTTAATATGATTTCACAAGTAAAATTTAGAGAAAGTAAAATGTATGTAATTTGTAGTACTCCTATTATCATGTAAAGAATAAAAATATTATTTCTGATAGACTTCCGACTTTGATCCAATCCTAGGATATATAATGTATGCCACTCAATTATTATATTTTCCTTAATTTCCAATAATCATCATTTGCTTATGTAGAAGCAATATTAGGAGGGTTAAATGAATGTCAACTTGACTCGTAAATATTCCTATTTGCCCATGATTGTCTTTACATCAATATATTACATACTCAATTCAAATTGAAATACAGGTGTCAATCTGTAAAGTTTGGTACAATAATACAAACTACTAATATTTTTATTATTATGAAACAAAGAGGAGCAAACAGTACACACGAATGCATTCAAACGTAATTCTATTGGTTTGTTTTTCTTTATCCATTTTCTCTAATGAAAATAAATACCTGAACAAAAGTTAAAGTATTCACTTAAACTATTTTGTTTTTCATCGAACACTTAACATATGTTCATTATGTCACTGTTTGACTTGACACACTCATTACGAAAATAATTATTGATATAGATATTTATCAAACTATCCCAATAAAATGATATTTTAGTATTAGGTCTAGCTAATAAAATGATTTGTTGAATAATTATTTAATGGTGAATGTGTAGTATGGAAAAAAAATGCTACTATAATTGTTTTTTCTTGAAATACAAATAAGAATAAAAATCTATTTTAGAAATAACTGACAAGTAAGAGTGAACGGATGAAGTAATAAAATGTTCTTATTCAAAAAAATTTAATTCAAAGTTTTTGAAATTATTCTCTATCGTTTATCACATAGATAAGTCAACAACTTAAAATATAACACCTCGTTGTGTTATGAACATTCATCTTAACAAGCTATAAACTTTAGAATATGTTTTTAATTGATGTTGGTGCATATAATGAAATGAGATGTTATATTTTATTATGTAATTTATTTATGTCATGACACTTGAGAATGCATGCATATATTTTTTCTAAAATATGAGCCGAAGGTGTCTAACATGAGCATTTTATTATATGTTCAGATGTTTAAATTGGAACAAATTATTATAATATGAATATCTAAATAAAATTTACTTGTAAGTTTAAGTAGACGTCGTTGGATTCACCCTATTTTTGTATCAAAATTAATAGATATAATACATAAACGTAAACTTATATATAACTCTTTAACCCTCTAATTTTTTTGTGCGCATAAATAGACACTTTAACTTATATATAACTCTGAATATGTAACATCGTGAGTGGCGTCTTATACAACAATTTGCATAAAATTAATTGTATTATGTCACGTAGAATTTGTATGTCTACTTATAGTTATATAAATGTTATCCGATGACGAGTTAAAAGAAGTATTTATATATTATATCAAATTGACAAAACTACCCTCACACGCTTTTCGAAGCACTTATATAGTAACTTTAAACCAAAACACATGTTTTAATTATACACTGTATATCTACTTCTCTGAAACAGCAAGAAAAAGCTCTGTTTTTGAACGGCCCGTTACTATCACCGATCACCGGCAGCTTCCGTTACCGCCGGCGGAATTAGAAAAGTTTTCAGCTTGAACTCCTCCGTTTTAAAGGGTGTCCAAATATGCAATTTTTTTTTTTTCTTTTTAACTCTATTTATTATTACTAAGAAATTTATTCCTGTGTAAATGCAAGATTTAGAGTTCCTAATTCTAAAATTGTATCTAATTTTCATTTGTGACAAAGATACAAACTTTTAGTCATAATTTTTTTAGATTTTTTTTCATTATATATAGTTCAAGAACATCTATTGCCAAAAAAATTGATACCCATGTAGAGAAATGAAGTTAATTTAGCCTACAAAAAGTTAAGGAATTTTTGAGCCATTGTAGATTTCTGATTCAGAATTCCATTTTAATGGAGAATAAAGGGTATTTTATTTCAAACCAGCAGCATCAGCAACACAATTTCTCAGCAACTGAAGGTTTGATTTTTATTTATTTTTTTAATTTTTTTGGGGTATTATTAAAGAATTCAGTTTTTTTTTTTTTTTTTTTTTTTTGTAAAAATGTTTACTTTTGAATTTGTTTTTGGAAAAAGTTTCAGGTGAAAATGAATTGTACCAAGAGTTATGGAGATTGTGTGCAGGTCCATTAGTTGATGTTCCAAAAAATGAAGAAAGGGTTTACTATTTCCCACAAGGTCACATGGAACAAGTATGTTTTTTTTTCTTCTTTTTGTTTCAAGTTTGGTTTTATATCAGTAGAGGAAGTTAGGAGGGTTGTGGTGGAGTGATATGTACTCTTTCGGATTTAACTAGAGGTCTCGTATTCACCTCTGTTGAATACGGAGTCGCTTTTGTTAATGAGTGATTTAAGGTACTTTCCAGTGTGAATGCGGATTTAGTGGTCCCAATGCGGGTAGTGTAGGTATAAATTTGTTTCAGTTTTGGTTTGAATCAGAGGTGGAACTAACAATGGTGGGTGGTAAGTACACATTTAATCCTTAACAACAAGAGGTCTCGTGTTTGAGCTCTGTTGGGCATGGAGTTGCCTTTGCTAGTGAGCACTTTACTGGACTTTCAAGTGTGAATGCGGATTAAGTGGTCCCAATGTGGGTATTAGAGGTATTAATTTGGTTTTGAATCAGAGGCAGAAGTAACAAGGTTTGTGGTGGAGTGGTACGTACTCCTTTCGTACTTAACCAAAGGTCTCGTGATGGAGCTCTACTTGGTATGAAATCGCCTTTGTTATGGAGTGCTTACTAGATTGTTTGGTTGGAAATTTGGATTTAGTGGGGCCCCATCAAGCAGATGTGGTGCATAAGTTATAGGCTGATCTAAACCAGCAATTTTTGTTCAGAACCCTGTATATGTGTAAAAGATTCACCAAATAAGTACAAATAATAGATTTCCAACTCAACAAATTGCACGGGCAATGGTAGATTTCATCTTGAGCAATTTTAATTATTAATAGGTGGCATTTTTTTGGTCATATAAAATAAACCGAAATTTTTAATAGGGAAAACGGTTTCCATTAGCCAACAATGGCAACTCTGGGCCATTTGGCTACCAGCATAGTTACGAACGAGACACTTTTGAAACGGAGGATAAAGTTGCTCTATATCAAATACATTATGAGAATATGTGTCCCTTTGCCATATTCGTTATTGTTGTTTGTTTCTGAGTTTTATTTTGTGGTATGGATAGTTGGAGGCATCAACAAATCAGGAGCTGAATCAGAGAATACCATTGTTCAATCTGCAACCAAAGATCCTTTGTCGCGTTCTTCACATTCAACTTCTGGTAATTAGCTGTACTTTCACCGTTTTCTTGTTTTAGTTAAACAGTAATGTTTCTATGTATTAGGTTCATGCATATATAAACTACTAAAAAAAAACAAGAATTAGCAACAAACAAATTTTGTAGTTGCACTACAATCAAATAATTTTGTTAGCTACGAGCTATTTAGACGTAGATTAGCGACGAAGTTCGTATAGCTAATTCTAGGTTATTTCTGAAGAAAAAGTTATAATGTGGACTTTCTCATTGAAAATTCGTTGTAGGCTGAGCAAGATACTGATGAGGTTTATGCGAAGATTGCTTTGTTGCCCGAAGCAGATGTAAGAACTTAAAGAACCTACTTTCTTGCTTGTATGAAACTCTGTTGTGTTCACTTGGTCTTTTATGTTCTGTTGGCCAATTTTCCTATAATTGCTTTCATCCGATTTAGCAAGTTGAGCCGACTAGTCCTGATCCGTCCCTGCCCGAGCCTCCGAGGCCCAAAGTTCATTTCTTCTGCAAGGTTCTAACTGCATCTGATACGAGCACTCACGGTGGATTTTCCATTCTCAGGAAACATGCTAACGAATGCCTACCTCCCCTGGTAATATATTTGATCCTTTGTTGTTACATTCTATAGTCTGTCCATTTTGAGAAAATGATGCATTACCTGTCGATTTTGTGATGCTATATTTTTTAATGCAGGACATGAACCAAACGACTCCAGCACAGGAATTGGTCGCCAAGGACCTTCATGGCTTCGAGTGGCACTTTAAACATATATTTAGAGGTAATTATTTGACAACTCGTAGTGTCCAATTTGGTTTGACAACAACAAAAAGATGATAGCGATGACACTTTATCAAATTGTTATATGGCCCAAGTGCTCACTCTTGATTCTTGACTAACAGGCCAACCCCGGAGGCATTTACTTACCACAGGGTGGAGTACCTTTGTTTCCTCGAAGAGATTAGTTACGGGGGATTCTTTTGTATTCTTGAGGTTTATATCTGGTGCTTATTTGTCTATTGCGCTTTAAATTTATCACTATTTATTCATTATATTCTGCAAATATGTCGTGTTTAGGAGGGACAAAGGTGAAGTCCGAATAGGAATTAGACGACTTGCTCGCCAACCGAGCTCAATGCCACAATCAGTGATTTCAAATCAGAGCATGCACCTAGGAGTGTTAGCTACTGCATCTCATGCTGTGACGACCCAGACTATGTTTGTTGTTTATTACAAACCGAGGTTTCTCTTATGCATCTCTTTTCTTAAAAGATTGAACTTTAGATGTCAAGGGGAGCCTTGGCGCAATTGGTAAAATTGTTACCATGTGACCAAGAGGTCATGGATTCAAGCTGTGGAAACAACCTCTTGCAGAAATGCAGGGTAAGGCTGCATACAATAGACTCTTGTGGTCCGGCACTTCCCTGGACCTCTCGCATAGCGGGAGCTTAATGCACCGGGCTGCCCTTATTATGTCCTTTCAGCAATGTTGAAATTAGTTTTTTTTTTTTGTTGGGTGAGAATATGCTAAATGTTGCCTATGTTCTCAATGTTGTGTGTGGAAAATCTTCAGAACAAGTCAGTTTATCGTAGGCCTAAACAAATATCTTGAGGCTGTTAAGCATCGGTATTCAGTTGGCATGAGATTCAAGATGAATTTTGAAGGGGAAGAGTTTCCTGAGAAAAGGTGGTAAAACATCAACTTTATTGAAGCTCGAATTAACGAGATGTTTCTCTACCGTATAAAGTTTCTCAATATACTGCATTTCTGATCTCTATTATCTTTTTTCTTCGGTTGTTCCTTCGTAATTTCCCAGATTTACAGGTACCATAGTAGGAGTTGAAGATAGTTCCTCACAGTGGAAAGATTCAAAATGGCGATCATTGAAGGTGGATATAATTTGGTTGTTGTCGACATTGAATGAATCAATACATTTGGATTGATGTAAAATTTCATTATTTTTCTTCCATCTTTCCAGGTTCAATGGGATGAGCCTGCATCTGTTTCAAGACCTGACAGAGTTTCTCCTTGGGACATTGAACCATTTGTGGCGTCAGTCGCTACTCCTCTCGTTCCACCAATGGGGGTGAAGAATAAAAGGCATCGAGCACATAACGAACCCAAAACTTCAGGTGGAAACAAGCATATTCATAATCCATGGCATGTTTTTTTAGTCATCCTATTTAGTTTTCTATTTTCATTTTCTTGATTATTATTCCGTTATTTTCCTGCTAGAACCTGTCCCTGCAGCTGCACTAGCCGCTTGGATTCCTTCAACGCAATTTAACCCCGTTATTGAAGGACAAAGTAGTGATAATCCATTTTCTTTGCATACTTCACAAACACATTCAACTACCAACAGTACTTTTAAGGCTCATGAAGATGGAATTTGGTCAGCTTCTAAAGTAAGTGCTTCTTTGAATATGCTTTTGGATGAGACAGAAGGCAGTAAAAGTGCTTCACCTCGGCCTGCTTTTCCGAGCTTTGCGTCCTCACAATTCGGAAAGCAAAACGATCTCCTGCTTCCTTGCCTAGACGATGAGAGAAAACGTGATACAATTACATCCTGTAGATTGTTTGGTATTGACTTGAAATGTCCCTCATTTGGTTCTGTTAATGAGAATCCGCCTCTAGAACCAGCCAACAATTCTGATGGCTCTGCTGAAGGGTGCTCTGGAAACACGACTTCTGCTGGTGATTCAGAAGACAACTCTGGCCTTTCAAGAGATTCCGAAGATCAGAAGCAAGAGCAGCTGAATCTGCCACCAAAGGAGGTTCACATCAAGCAGATCTCTTCCACCAGAACTCGCACCAAGGTATGAAAACCAAAACGAGAAAGTAAATTGTGTTTTTCCATGTTCGTTACTACTCCAAGGACGTCAATAGAAATAAAAATACTTTTTTAGCTTACATGAATTCCTTGAGAAGGTTCAAATGCAAGGCGTAGCTGTGGGACGTGCTGTGGATTTAACAAAACTGAGTGGATACGATGAGCTCCTAAAGGAACTCGAAGAGATGTTCGATATCCAGGAAGAGCTCCACGCACGAAATAAATGGGAGATCGTTTTTACTGACGATGAAGGTGATATGATGCTTATGGGCGATTATCCTTGGCCGTAAGTGTTTCTTTCTCCATTTACAACTTAAAATTAAAAGTATGTAGCTCATATGCAAATCCAGGATTTAAGGTTTATGAGTTCCTACAACGACCTCAAGTTAATATATAAAAATAACTGGGTTCCTACAACGACCTCAAGTTAATATATAAAAATAACTGGGTTCCTACAACGACCTCAAGTTAATATATAAAAATAACTGGGTTCCTACAACGACCTCAAGTAAATTTCTTAATACGTATAATACATGTGATCCATAAACTCATAAGCTAGCTCTGCCCGTGAATTATATTATAGCTACATGTAAGATCTCTCATACTTTGCATATCATAATATGGTGCTCAATTATTCACAGAGAGTTCTGCAACATCGCAAAGAGGATCTTCATTTGTTCTAGTCAAGACATGAAAAGTTTCAGTGCAAGAACCAAATCGCTGTCTTGTTTAGAAAGTGAAACAACTACTTCAACATGAAAACCGCTCATAAGCTACATTACTTACATCTGTCAGGAGCGAAGACTCCATTTCGTCCTTGATCGTGTTTTCCCAATTGTGACCTTCATTTCTTAAAAAGTTTCGGCCTTGTTGACTGCCAACAGGTATCTGCAATCTTCAATAATAACGCTTAGAGGATGAGACTCCATGTCGTCTTGTTGAATAAGCTTGACAACAAGCAAATAGTTGAATCTTTTTTCATCATTTAGTGGAGTTAGTATTAGAAGCTTGTGTATATGTAATTTAATGATTCTGGTGGAAGTTTGGTTGTTGTATCTCTGTGGTTGTACTTACTCAAGTGGGGTTGTTGCAACAGGAAAAACTTACTTACATCTAGTGTTTATGTAAAATCAATAAGTATATGAGGCGTATATTCTATATATACGCGTTTATCGCTTAAATTTGTTTGATGTAAATGCATTCTCACCTCATTTTGTCACTTAACAATTGCATATTCATATGGTTTGGTTGGGTTTTAAAGGTATGAATAGGAAATGAAGAGTTGTGACTTTGCCGAAGGGTTGTGACCTCAATGAAAAGTTGTGTCTTTTCTAAAGGGTTGTGACAGTTTAAAAGGTTGTGCCTTTTTCAAAGGGTTATGACCTTTCTTAAAGGTTGTCCTTTTTTCAAAAACTTGTGATCTTTTACCATTTGTTGGCTATAAATAGAAAGTTTCTCTCATTTTTCAGCATTGAATTCTTCTCTTCTTTTGCATACATTTCTTACAAACAAAATCGATCGTGTATGTGATTCGTTGCTATCTTTTTGAGTTTGTTGAAATTATCGAAGTTTGAGGTGCCACTATTTCTTTAATGGTTAATCTGTTTTATCTTGGGAGGAATTAATCTACAACCTCCGATACTTGAGGGGATTAAAATTCTTAAAGACACAAAGTGGGTTCTATAGACTCGAATAGTTCTTTTCTTTTTCTTTTCATATTTTTATTAAACATCGTATGCGGATGAATATTTAACATATTTTCATCTTTATCATTCTTCCGAGTTTACCTGATACGAATACTTATTATTTTAAGGGGTCGTTTGGTAGGGTTTATAAAAATAATGTTAAATAGAGTGTATTAGTAATGCTTACATTAGCAATGCATGTATTAGTTATGCTTGCATTAATTATACATAAATTATTTTTATGCATTGTTTGGTTTGATCACTTTGATGCATTAAAAATAGAATGCATTGCATTAAATATTCTTTACAAAGATACCCTTTACTATTATGATGGAAAAGATATAAAAAATGTATTGAGGGGCAATTGAGTTAATGCATGCATTAAAATCATTGCATTGTTAATACACACCTTAATACACAATAGGGTGTATAATTAATGCAAACATTATTTGTACATAGGTTGGAAAAGAGTATCAAACAAGATACTAGTAATCCACAAGGTTGATGCATTTTTTTTTTTTTTAATACACTCTACCAAGTTTTAAGTTTTATGTAACATAGTGCATAATATAGTTACACCATCAAGTCATTTAAAAGGTAATTATAACTAATAACATAACTCGTTTAATTAATAATATTGATTTGTTTTCTTAGAATAAATGGGAGTAGGAATTATTAGTAACATGCTATAAATTATATAATATGTAGGTTAAGATAACACTTGAGTGTAAAAAGTTCATTATATATATATATATGCTATTTCTGGTTAAAAACCAAGAACATATATGTATAATTGGTCAGAGAGAGTTTGTCATCCATGGTGAAATATATAGGGAGTCACAAAAAAATGACTTAAAGTAGATGATAATGTGAATTTACGATGATACAATATTAGATAAGATTATTCGTCAGTACATCAACCAAAAAAATAAATATATAAACAGCATACATTAAGAGTAAAATAGAAAAAAATAATTTGGGATGATTTAATCATATATAGTGTGAACTCATGCATGACCATCATATGCACCAGTCTTGAAGTCATGCATGATTTAATTCTTGCCGTTATGCTGACTATTACATCACAAAAATTATTTTATTATTTTTAAGAGTTTCCATCTTTTTTGTTTATTGGGTGACTCGAATTTCTAATTTTAAGGACAGAAATAAAGTTGAGTATAATCTGAGCAAGTCTATCTTATTTAATCTATGAGAACTCACATTGCGAACTCCAAATTATTTTATCAGATGCATAATTATTGTTATTATTATGATATACATAACAATATAATTTTTTTGATGAAGACGGTTCAACGTATCATTAATGGTATCTCCAAGCCTCTACCTACTACCTATGACTTAATTATGAATACTATTTTTTGTAAGAGCTTCTATAAATAGTAGGACTTCTCAAAACTCATAATACATTGATCTAAATTAATTTATCGATCTTCTTTGAACTTTTCTATCTAAAATCATATATATATATATAGCACCACAACAAATGGAAACTGCCGTCGCCACCGCGACTACCGTTAATGGCCCTTATCACTCCTTCAAAATCATGTATAAACGCATGTACCTCAACCGTGCATTTGCTCTTATTTACATCTTTGCCATTTTGGCTCTCTTTTATCACCATATAATAAAATTATTTAATTATCACTCCATGTTAATTACCATAATTACCCTCTTCATGTTAATTTCTGACATAATCTTAGCTTTTGTGGTTCACTTCTCAGTCTTTCCGCACGCGCCATATAGCGCGTGAACAATTCCCCAAAATGCTCGAAAATTTTGAAGATCATTTTCCCGCGCTTGATGTATTTATATGTACGGCAGATCCGTACAGGGAGCCACCGGGTAATGTAGCCAACACAGTTTTGTCCGTGTTGACTTATGATTACCCGACAGAGAAGCTCTCGATTTATGTGTCAGATGATGGTGGATCGGAGCTTACTATGTTCGCTCTCGCGGAGGCCGCGAGATTTGGTGTACACTGGTTACCGTTTTGCAGGGAAAATGGAGTAGTGGAAAGGTGTCCAGATGCATATTTCAGTTCTGATAATTATGCAGAAAATTCCCAATTGCATAAAATTAAGGTATTTTATATTTGTTGCGTTTCAATTTGTTTATCATGATTTGACTTGTGGCAAAGTTCAGAAAAGAAATAAAGACTTTTAAAATTTGTAATTTTAAATATGTTACTCCTATAACATTGTTCGATTATAAAAGGGTTAAGGCACAAGTACCCCTAGACTACACCGAAATCTCATAGATGCACCTTATTCAAACCTACATTTTTGTAATTTTGTACACCTTTTTAAATTTTGGCATCCAAACATTTCCCATGCGCCTCAACTGTGTGAAGTCATGGAGTGTGCCACGTATGTCAAAAGGTGTACAAAATTACAAAAAAAAAAAATGAATTTGAGGCAATAGGACCTTATTTAGTTAAGATGGGTCGCTGAAATTTCAATCATAGTCTAGGAGTACTTGTGTCGTCTTTTCTCATGTATAAAATATTTGAAACTTATAGTCTTAAAATATCATAAGTAAAATTTATGAGAAGATAAAAAAAGGAAAATATAAATCAAACATATATTCTTCTTTTTGGAACAGATTATCTAACCGGAGCACGTAATGTTCCACATTTTTCTTTCCCCTAATAGTAAAAACAGTATATGTAGAAGTAGTTTGTTTGGTTCATTCATTACTTGCCATACATGAGCAATAATTGAACTTTAAATGATATCTATTTTTAATATTGATATGATAGTATATAATATATTTTTACGTTATCAATGTATATTAATTGATCTTAAAATAATATATATGAGCAATAATTTTTTTTGTATGTATCCATGCAGTTGATGTATGAAAACATGATTACTAGAATAAATAATGTGGTGGAGAGAGGAAAAGTAAATGAAGAGTACATTAGCAATGAGGATGAACAAGAAGCTTATAGCAAATATTCATCAGATGGATTTACTCCCCATCATCATCCCTCTACTATTCAGGTTTGTGTTTTTTTAAGTCGAGAGTTTATTGAAAATATTTTTTTATTTCTATATAAGGTAGCTAGAAATAAGATCGATCTGTGTATATCTTATTTTTCTCGAATCTTACTTTATAAGATCATATATGATATGTTATTGTCGTTGTCAAGAACGAAACTAAAATTTTAATAATGGGTTCGGCGGAATTTAATATATTTGGCCAAAATTCTATATATGAGTTAAGAATTACTTAATACATACGTATACATGATTTATGCATGCTAAATAAAATATATTTTTTAGAATTTAAAACTCATAAACTAATCAAGCTTTTGAATTCATATTTGATTTGTGGTAGCTATATATATATATATATATATATATATATATATATATTAGATGAACTCACTATTTTATAATGAGTTTAAGTTTTATACACTAATATGATTTGTATAATGTATTAATCTTATAAGCATTGACATGTAAAAAATGTTCATACAATTAGGTCGCTAATCAAGCTGTAGAGGCAGACTCGTGATTTGTAATTTATGATTTTTGAGTTATACTTTCTTTTAGTTTATTAGATTCTAGATAGATTATAATCTATACGTATAAGATGAATTTTAGATACAAACATAAAGTTTGAATCAAAACTATTAAATTTTTATTGAACTCGTATAATTTTAAGGCTGGCTCCGATTCTGTTAGGTTGTTTATGAGGCCCAGGTATATTACACATATTATAATATAACTTGGTAGTGAATAATGATTGTATAATCCTTTCATAATATAACTCACTCTCCTCTTTACCCAAAATTCTTCAAGCAGGTTTTATTGGCAAACAACAAAGACAAAGACATTACAAATGTTTTTATGCCAAATCTTGTCTATATTTCCAGGCAGAAAAGCAATACTTCCCCTCACCATTTCAAAGCAGGGGCACTTAATGTTCTGGTAAGCCGGTATCTTAAAATTTGAGGTGGGCCCACTTTTCAATCTCTGTAATTGAAAAATAGTCATGGTCCTAAAGTTTCGAATTCCACAAAATGAAACTCTAAGATACAGTCATGTAGTTTCACTTGTGTAATTTGAAATTTCATAGCAATGACTATTTTTCAAGAATATAACTGGAAAATGTCAGTAGACGCTATTTAATTTCTACTAATATTTGATACTTGTTGCCTTAAACATACACGTACAATTGTGAGCCGCTAAAAGTTTCTCATTTAAGGGAAAACTAAGAAGTTTAAGATTAAATTATTTTAAGATATAGTCATTCCAATTGGATGATTAATTAGGAAATAATGTCGCACAAACTGATACGATGAGACTATTTTTATTTTTTTTGTTGAATGAATTCATGCTCAATATGAATACTTTTGAAAATTGATTTAAATTATTTTCTGTTATTATTTTAATATTTGAAGCTTCGAGTATCGGGGATTATGACAAATGGGCCTATAATCTTAACATTGGACTGTGACATGTACTCCAATGATCCATCAACTCCTAAACTGGCTTTGTGTTACTTCTTGGACCAATCTCTCTGGCCCAATTTAGCATTTGTTCAAACACCGCAGCGATTTCATGGGCATAATTGGGCCGATATCTATGCAAGTGAGTTTAAAGCTCTGGCCCATGCGAATCCAATGGGCATGGATGGGCTTTGTGGCCCAAATTATATGGGTACCGGGTGCTTTTTCAAACGCCGGGCTTTCTTTGGTGGGCCGTCATCGTTCGAGCAACAAGGAATGATTCAAGATCTTGTTGTGAACAAGCCCATTGAGGCCCAAACTATTCTAGAGCAAGCTCACCAAATGGCAAGTGTCAACTATGAGAACCAAACTAATTGGGGTTTCAAGGTATGTTGTACAAGTCTTAGTTCTTTTTCTCTTTCATCATAAGGTGAGTTTAGAATTTGAACTATATAAGTTCGAGTTCAAAATTCTACTACAACTCATGATTTATTAGATTCAAAATTTAGTTATTTGTACTGGTTGTATAGACCTGAATAAAAAATATGAGTTTGAATGAATCCATACCTTATCCTCTACACCGCCCCTAGTTGAAAAAGGTGTCGCTAAGTGGTTAGGGGGTAAATTTCTGAAATAGCCACCTACATACTCAATTATTGAAATATAGCCATTGTCCTAGAGTTTTGACATTGCACAAGTGAAACTCTGGACAATTATTGTTTTTTAAAAAATCGGGATTCTACATATTGGTAGCTTTGAGTTAAATTCAAACGTTTGAGGTGATAATATTTACAGAATGTTGAATATCTTCACTCTCAATAGTTACATACAAGTCTATAAAATATAGAAAGGCAGAATGCCTATGACGTGTATGTGTTGGATGAACCAAATCCAGTCGAAAAAGTGGTCACTGAATGCTATTTACAATGGCTAGGAGGAGGCCAATAGTCAAATATGACCTAACCTCATAGTATCGTAGTTTGAATTATGACCTCTTGACTATTCCACGATCACAACGAAACAAGTCTTTACACTTCTTAGCATAGCAAAAAACACAAAAAAAAATTGTTGTGGACAATACTAACAACCAAAAGATATGCAGATGGGCTTTAGATATGGATCATTGGTGGAGGACATTTACACTGGATATCAACTTCATTGTGAAGGTTGGAAATCAATATTTTGCAACCCTAAAAGGCCAGCATTTTTAGGACATGTACCTCTATCACTCAATGAGGTGCTAATTCAAATGAAGAGATGGGCTGTGGGCCTCCTTGAAGTGGCTTTATCAAAGAACAGCCCAATTACATTTGGTATGGGGCATTTGGGCCCAATAATGGCCCAATGTTACATTCACTATACATTTTGGCCCATTCACTCCTTACCCATTACTATCTATGCTTTGCTTCCTCAACTCACTCTTCTAAGTGGAGTTCCCATTTTCCCAAAGGTATCTCTTGCTATGTCTACTCTTTTTCTTTTTTTTTGAAGATATCATTTTTGGTATAAATTTGATATTTTACTAGATAAATTTAACTTTTAATCAATTAAAATGTGTGTTTTAGTCTCATTAGTACGTTGCATTTGGACTCTTTTTAGAACTATATTACCATCAAACGTGAAATAATAATACAGGCGTCTTAACATAGTGTACGAGTAATTGCATATTGAAACGGATAATAATTATGATAAATTTGTGAACAAAAGTGTACATTTCAATTAATTGAAGGTTAAATGTGTTTAATTAGATATCAGAAGGAATAAAACAAGAATTTACCAATCACTCAAGGACCAAAAGTGCTATTAATGCTTCTTCTTTTTTATACTAATCATGATATTAGATCTTCATAAGAACTATTATAAGTGTTGTAAAATATGATTTCCTTAGCTCACATTTTTGTACAATATTGTTTTCAGATCTCTAGTCCATGGTCTTTGTTGCATATTTTTCTATTTCTT